TAATATGCACCAAGTGAAAATGGAAGTGACTCACAACTGGATGGAGAAAGGATTCAGAAATAGACAAAGCTGAAAATACTGAATTAAAAAACACTAAACTAAAAAGCACTAGGCAGAAGTCCCAGAATATGATGAGAGAAATTGATCTTCAATAGATCCAAGATAAGTCTGTCTCTGATTCACCTTTTCTTATCTTGGTATGCTTTTACCTCTAGCTCGCTAATCAAATGGAACTACTTGAAGACCCCCAATTCTTCTTAAACACTGTGTCCTTTAATTATTAAGATGAATTCACTACTTCTCATTCTTTCAACCTCATCATTGTCTGGTTAAATCTTGTTTAGACTTCAACAAAGGAGATGGAAGATTATGATCAAACTGTCTTCAATTTCTTCTGATAGTTTTGAGCTCAAGTTGTGCTTAAGTGTTTACCTCTTTGATAGTACTTAAAAGCATTTTGCGGAAATCAATGATTTACTTATCTACTTCCTTATAAAGTATAAGTTTAAACCTTTTAAAATTATTATGATAAGTTTTTTTTTTTTAAAATGGGTTTTTGTACTTAAGCTTACACAGCAAATTGGGTTCTTTTAAAATAACCTCTGCACACAGTTTTCAGTTAGATTGGTTACAATTTTCACAATATGGCATCAATCTCATTTATTTCATCCTGGTTGTACCATTTTTGGTCCAACTTCAATTTATTTAATGATTTATTCAGTCATAGCATATACAGCAAAAACAAATAGTTTCTACCAACCCTAAAAGCAAAGCCCACTGTCATAGAGTCAATTTCAACTCAGAGCAACCCTATACAGTGTTTTTGATACTCTAATTTTATTACTTGCTCATGTTTGCCTTAGAGAAATGTTTGACCATGTGATCTTATCTACATGGTTTTAATGTTCTTTATTTTATGTCAATCTTTTGTTTCAGTACAAGGTGACCTTAAGGGATTATTTTGTTTTAAAGAGCACATCTAGGCATCATGCTTTCCATAGCAGGATAATATCCATATCCTTAAGGGAGCCCTGGTGACACTGTGCGTTAGGGATTGGCTTGCTAATCTCCAGGGTGGCAGTTCATTCCCACCAGCTGCATTACAGTAGACACATGAGACTATTCCTATAAAGAGTTACTATCTCAGAAAATTAATAATAGATTTCTTAGAGTCAGAATCAACTTCATGACAATGGGTTTAATTTTTGTTTTGATTTGTGGGAAAGACCAGCTAATACAATTATTTTTCAAATTGATGCACCAACCACTAAAGTCGAAGATGAATAAATTGAAGAATTCTAACAACTTCTGCAGTCTGAAAAGATGAAATATGGAATCAAATGCATTAATAATTACTGGTGATTAAAATTAAAGAGGGCAAGGAACAGTAGTTGGAAAATTAAGACAAATCCACAAAAGCCAAATCAGGGCTTTGAATATATTACACATGAATATGGAAATTATCTCAAGAATAGATTTAATGCACTGATCACCAAGACAAGAGGTGTTATGGAATGACACTGAAAACATCATAACATGAAGAAAGCAAAAGGTCATTAAAAAGACACAAAGAAATAAAAAAGCCAAAATGAATGTCAGAAGTTACACTTAAATTTGCTTTGAACACAGAAACTAAATTGACTGGAAGAAAATGATACAATAAAAGAGCTGACCAGAATCGTCTATGAGACAAAAATGGAAGCAAAGTAAATTATTAAAATGAAATATGAAAGACCTGGAGTTAGAAAACCCGAAGGGTACAATGTAGTTTTCATTTCTCAAAATGAAGTGACCACAGAAAAAATTTCCAGTTCTAACTTTCACTATTGAAGGATTCTCTTGGGAAAATATCGCATGATGCAGTAAGTAGCCAAAGAAGATGGGAAAAATTCACAGAACCACTTGGTTGATATTCAGTCATTTCAGGAGGTAGAATGTGAGAGAATTCATGGCTTTAAAGGAAGAGGTCCAACCTGCCCTGAAGGCATTGGTGCAAACAAGGAATGGATGGAATACTCATGGAAATGGAATACTCAACCAACAAATGGATGTAGCAGTGGAAGTACTCACTTGTGTGTGCCAAGAAATTTAGAAATTTCCAGCTGGTAAACCTGCTGCAAAAAAGATCCTTATTTGTGACCCATTCCAAAGAACGGTGACCCAAATGAATGTAATTATTGAGAAATATGATTAATATAAAAAAGGAAAATTTTGCTGAAGATGATGTTCAAATGGTTGTACAATGATATTGCCAAAGAACCTTCAAAAATTCATGCTATGCTCTTTCTTTCTTACCTGTTTTTTTCTTCCTTTAGAAAATCATATTCCATATTTCAATCACATCAAGCAGTATTGTACAATTGCAGCCACAATCAGTTTCCAACATTCTTTTCCTGCTTGCACTCAATGATTTTGGTTGTAGATGACACAGATAATGAATCTGTCTAGGTCATCATCTTACCATAAGTCAGTGATGCTGCCTTTTAAAATCTCAATTGGTTGATTATTCTAAAGAGTGCAGATTTCCCTACTCTTATTACTCACATTAGAGGCCTGTCTATTGTTGGGATAAAAATTGAGTTATAAGGTGAGGACAATTCCAAGCCTGATGCATGACTGAAAGTTATAGTCTTGTCATTCTCTCAACCTCTATCTGACCAGTGGGCCTTCTCTTTTTATTATTATTAATTTTCTTTTAATTTTTAGATTCGAAACTTTTAACATTTTTATTAGCTTTCGAAGACATATAGCTTTGTAGATATAGTGTCTTCATTTTGCTATCCTGGGTGAGAGAGTGGTATTGACCTTTGTATCCTGGTTCTAACCCTCATTGTTTCCTTTATTTTTTTTAATCCTACAAAATCACAGAATACTTTATTAAATAACAATATCAAGATATGAAGCTATTGTGTCTTGACATAATCTCTAAGTCCATACACTTGTTTTAGAAAATAGTTTAACAGCTTAGACTGGCATACAATTCATATATATATATATATGTTTCACTAGTTCAATCACCTGCATCAGAGTACAACCTTCACCACTAATAATTCCAGGATATTTTTTCTTCCTTGAACTCATTGTTGTTAGTTGTTGCTAATCCTTTGCCATGTGCCTTCAAAACAGTTGTTGTCTACCTATTGTTTTCTCTATAGGTTTACCTAACCTGGGTTTCATTTACAGAAAAACACACAACATCAAAACAAAATATAAACAAATGACCTAACAATGACAGAATGAAACAGAAAAACCTCAATTGAAAACAAAGCAGCAAATATTAAAAACTGGAACAATTATATATTGGATCAAGAGGGAGATCAAGTGACAAGGTGTCACTCTTTGACCTAAAACTGCAGTAATCTGTCCTACAAAGTCCCATGTCTGGTAACAAAGCCTCTGTTTCCATGGTCAGAAGGGGGGTTCACGTGGGACTTACTCTGCATGGAAACCCTGAAAATGGGTTTTGGATTTTCCCTGTTACTCATAGTCTTCTGAAAACTGGGTGTTCAGAATTTACACTCTAATACCAGTCCTTCCTCTGGGCTTGTTGTTGTTATTTACAATTCTTGGATCACGTGGGCTGGTTTGTTTCTTTCATGTGGATTTAACTGATACTTATATGGCAGCTTGTTTGAAGCCAAGCTCTGAACATCCCAGATACTGTTCCTTTCAATAGCTGGGCACCATTCACTTTCTTCATCACACTTTGTTATAGCACCTATATCTTCAGTTATCACTTCATGGGGTTTGACATTGAGCAGGGCCATGTCATATGAACTAATTGTTCTTAGATTTGGGCTATTATTAAGTGTGAGCTCTAAGTCCATTCATGTAGCTATGGCTTATATATGTCTCTGGTTCACTTTAAAAACATTATTTTGTAGAAGGACATTTTAAATTATCCCCATTGGGCATATCATCATTCTATTACTATTGCCATTAATCTAGCCAATGGTAAAGATTTTAAAACACTGTCTAGGAAAAGTATACATGTCTAAGACCCCATTTCTTTATACCAAAATATATGAATTTTTGATTTGTACAAATTAATGGTTTAGGTGACAGTTCATTACACAAACAATGAAGTTTGTAATTAGGGCAAAACTTTCAGTAATGTTTTTTTTCATAAAGATAGAACTGGAATAAACATTAGATAAAAAGGCAAAGAACATATGTAAATAATACATACATAGTAATCTTGAGTTGCCATTAATTGGGCATCCTCAATCCATGAATGTTGAACCAAAGTCCAATGACTTCCTCATCCATGGCTTGGAGATAATAATCATCTGTTTCTTCTCACACTCACAGTATGCCTGCCGCCCCCCCGCCCCCCTTTTATAATTGTGAGTTTTGTTCTACCGTTTCTCCCGCTCAGGGCCTTCGACTGTGGTCCGTCTAAGAGTAGAAGTTCTTCACCCTCTAGTTCTGTTCTCAGGTCATGGAGGCTGAGGTTCACATGGACCCTTATCCTTAGATCACGACTGCAGTTGTACCTGTGTGTCTTTGATGTTCCTCACTCTTCTGTGTTTCAGCTTGGGAGAGAACAATAGTTGCACCTTCAATGATTGCTGACAAACTTTTAAAATCCCAGTAATTTGAAAAGTTTATTCTACAATAAGTGAAAATATTATGGAACATCGATTTGAAATTTTCATATGGCTATTTTAAAGAATGTTGCTCCATTCATATTATTTTGTACTTTAATCGATGATAATGGTGGATTATGATTTAGAAGTTTCTGTTTTTCAATTCTTCTATAACTAAATTATATTCTATTATTTGAACACTTCACTTGGTATTTTTTAATCCAGAAATTTGTATTTATTTTTATAATGGAAAGGGCCGATAGTACTATTGAAACTGATTATTTCAATAAGTATTTATTGTGTTATACTAACTGTATAAAGTAAAACAGAGTAATTTATTTCACCCCTTATTAAAGAGAGAACTAGAAAGCAACACAGCTCCCTGATTTTGTGTGTAATTGTTGTTCTTAGTTGGAGGACTTAAGAAGACTTTATGACCGACTTTCCTTGAAGAAAAAACATTATGAAAAAGAGTACAAAGAAGTACTCAATACTTTTTATGCCGCAGTAAGTTTTTTCTGCTTTCCCAGTAGAGAACTATTCTTTACTCTAAAATATCAACTTTTGTAACAAAAATTATTGTCTCTTTTCATCGCTTTTTGTAAAACAAACAAAAAGACAAGCAAATGTGTATAAATGATTCTTTTTTTTCCTTTTTTGTCTTTAAAGAAAAATACATGGGACACTGAGCTTTCTAATGTTTCAAAAGACTTTTCTGATCTTTCAAAATCATTTACTCAAGTGTCAGATGAAAATAAGAAAAAGGAGAAGGAAACTGAAATCTTAGCAGATCTTATCAATGAAAGGTAATTCTGCAAATGGAACTTTTAATCTTATATGGAGTACTTAATATGGTAAATGTAATAAACATCTTTGGAAGCCTGTGATGATATGGTCCTAATTAGGTTGAATGTTGGCTCTATTTTAAATCTCACACTTTGATAATTCTGGATTCCTTGGTGGTTGTTAGATGCCACCAGCCTTTCTCGACCCATAGCAACCCTGTGTACAACAGAGCGAAGCAATTCCCGGTCCTCTGTCATCGTCACAATTGCTCTTATCTTTGAACCCAGTGTTGCAGCCTCTGAGTCAATTCATGGTGTCAAGGGCTTTCCACTTTTTCATTATCGTTTTATTTTGTTATTTTAAAAATCATTTTTTGGGGGGCTCGTACAACTCTTATCACCATCCATCCATCCATCCATCCATTGTGTCAAGCACATTTGTACATTTGTTGCCATCATCGTTCTGAAAAAACGTCATTATTTGCTCTCTGCTCCCCCTCCTCCCCCTACTCCTCTCCCATTCCCCCACACACACCCCAGCAGAATCATTGGTCCCTTTGCTGTCTCCTTGGGATTGCTTACCCTGCCTATCTACTTTTAAAAAAATCGTTTTATTAGGGGCTCATACAACTCTTATCAAAATACATACATACATCAATTGTGTAAAGCACATTTGTACATTCATTGC